TGGATTTTTATAAAACAATTGCCCTATTGACACAGCTGTTTTCAAATTAAAATATAGAACATTTGGCACTTGATAATTAATTGGTAGCTTATTTTATTTTATTTTTTTTGACAATTAAAAAAAATGTGACAAACAAAAGAAAAAAAAACTTACGTAAAACCTAAAAAAAAACTTTCTCGTCGTCTCCGACTTATCTCAGTGTAATAAAGCCAGAGTAGTCATTAATAAAAATCATTCACAAAATATATTAATTTATAAACGATTCAACGTGCAGTAATGGTTAACAAGCTAAATGACAATTAGTAGTGAGTTCGATTTTAGTAGTTAATTCCCTATTGGCATTATGTGTGGCCTTGTGTCAAAATTAAGCAAAGTAAAATAAGAAAACAGTGTCTGTAATGATTTGTTAAGAAGGCCACGAGTTTCTAAGTTCGTCAACGGAATATTTTTTGAATTGAAAAATAAGTTTATTATTTTATTATTTTTAGCTGTGTAGTTAATAATTCTACTGTTCACTAGTTCACAGCACCAAATGACGTTACCACGAATTAATGTTTAAAAATAGGATTTAAAAAATATAGGGCCAGGTCAGTTCAACAGAAAGAAAAAAAAATTGGGTTCGATATTTATTATTATGTTTTTAGCTCTCATATTTATAATTTATTATTGATTTTTTATCACAAAAATTAAATGGTAATTAAAAAAAGATTAGAGACCATAAGTAACACGAACAAAAGAAAATTATATTTGAATAAATAATTTTAAATTTAAATGAATTTATATTTTGAATTTGGATTTCTTGAATGACGAACACAGATTTGGTTTGGATTTGTATATTTTTTTTTAAATTGTAAACGTCCGAGATTAGGTCAGGTTTTTTTTTTGTTTGATTTTTACTTATATTCCAGGTGAAATAAAAGTAAAAACTCGACTCTAACGACTGACTCACTCTCTCTCTCTCTCTCTCTCTCTCTCTCTCTCTCTCTGCTCTGTCACGCTGACTCGCTATTTCTTTCTCTAATCTCTCACACACACACTCGTTCTCTTTGGTTTAAGCTTTTTCTCTTGCTTTCGCATCCTATCTCACTCTCTCGCTTTCTCTTTCATGCGTTCTCTCTCTCACTTTCTCTCTCTCTCTCTCTCTGACATTTGCACACGCGTTCTCTCTTTCGCTCTCGATTATTTTCTCCCTCTTCTTCTCGCTCGTTCACCTTCCTTCTCACTCTCTATCTCTCGTTTTTTTCGCTCTCTCTCTTTCTCTCGCTTATGTTTCCAATGACTCTTGCATTTTCTTTCACTCTCCCTCTCCCGTGTTCTCTCTCTCTCTCCTTTTCTTTTTATTTCTCTCTGTCTCTCTCTTTCTCCCTATCTCAAAGTTCCTGTCCGCTCTCGCTCAATCTCCTCCCACTCGTAGGGCAATGGTCTGCACGTCTTGCAGACAATTTTTACTGAAATGAACCCAAATTCTAACTGGGTGACCCCCCACACACACACACACACACATATGATTGTCTCACATTAGACAAAGTTTAAATATTTTAAAGTGTTACATACAAACACGTTTGCAACATTTTTAAGCGCGAAAATTTATCTGGAAATTCCCATCATCAGCACGCCTTACTCCGTGTGTGTGTGTGTGTGTGTGTGTGTGTGTGTGTGTGCGTGTGTGTGTGTGTGTGTGTGTGTGTACGTTTTATACGTAGGTCTTATTTCAGGAAATAGGTACAAACGATTTCGTGGTAAATAATAATTAATCCTACAGATCGATCGTTACTATTACACTATTTACATTGTTCTAATCTTTATTGCCATATCTACGACGTTTCGGCCTTCTTCAGGAGATATACGTTGGAATTTCGAACCGAACTCTTTATTTCGCCTGCCGGGGTAGATTGTTCTAGTTCCACGTGCCATGCCTTTTCTGGATATCACAGTCTCAGTTATTTCCCATTAGTAATTTAACTCTCCAAGTTTTTGTGGACAGGTATTGAACTCACCTGCGTCAAGTCACTGGATTACTTCAACCAACGTTTTTATCCACTAGGCCATGTGCCAGTGGGCGAAATAAAGGGTTCGGGTCGAAATTCCAAAGTATATCACCTGAAGAAGGCTGGAACGTACAACGAGCGAAACGTCGTTAATATGACAATAAAGATAAGAACAATAGTCCGAACAATGTAAATAGTGTAATAGTGTATAGTTACAATACCTCATTTCAGAAATATAGACAGATCGATCGTTATACAATAAAAAAAATTAAGAGAAGAATCCAGAATTAAGTCTCGAGCTACGGACTTATTGATTCAACAAGCAAAATATATATATATATATATATATATATATATATATATATATATATATATATATATATATTTATTCCAAACGAAAGACGCTTAAATTTCGTAAATTTCCTGCACGATTAATGGTTAAAAATTATAAAAGGAGAAATCACTGAAATTAGCATTATTTATTTACTCAAGTTAGTTGATATCAAATATCAATTGTTAACGCAAATCAATAATGAGATTACTCAAATAGTATTCTGCTTCTTCATGTACCGTGTCCCCCTCAGGGTGTAGGCGATCATGGCTCTCCACAATTTCCTGACTTTCATAGCTCTTAATAAATTTTGTCTTTTTGCTATTTCTTCTAAAACTTGTTCCGCTATCCATTCACTCGAGCACACTAAGTATGTTATACGTTGTTTTCCTCTGTACTTGCCTTCAATCTGCCCTGTGAGTATCCGATTTTCCAAGCTCTCTTCCTTATTATGTACACTAAAAATCTAGCTTTCGCATCTTGATGTTATTTATGAGTTTACTTTTTGGTTATTTTTCTCTAAAACTTCATTACGAATATTTGTGTGTATTTAGACAGCATTTTTTCATTCATACATGTTTCATTAAATAATATAGAAAAGTGTTGTCTATTTATTTTGTGTAAATTCTTTTCATAACGTCTGATAAGCTTAATAACATTATCATTAAACGAAGAAAGAAAATCCCAATATTGATCCATATTTTTAAATCCAATCTAAGCTTTCGGCTTACATAAGCCATTATCAAAGATGTCAATTACTGTACAACATATTAAGCAATATACGGACAAGACAGTGATGATAGTCTGTTATTGTTTACATGGATGATTTCCAAGCAACAATAAACACGTGCTAGAAGCGAAAATCGCACCGCAGCTCATGACGTCACACATGACCACGCGAGAGTGAATTATATATATTATAAATTCCCAAGAGGATAGAATCCAGGTAGAACTCAATGTCCAGGACAGAGAAAGAATATATAAGAATATTTTCCGATTTCATTTTGAATTTGTAGGTCTGATGAATTGGATCATGATTACGATTCCAATGTAATAAATTATAACCATGGAATATTTGTGTTTGAGCCTTTTATATATATATATATATATATATATATATATATATATATATATGTAACACTTTGCTTTTGAAATTTTCTTAAAAATTGTTTAATCACCAGTCACTTACCATCACCTGAAGAGGCACAACAGCGTTACCGAAACACGAATGCTATAGTGTAGCGATTTCAACATATTTTTGTTCTAATCTCTTAATCTGTTATAATAAAATTAATAATATATTGATCTACTTCGCATTGAGCACTTTTTAAAAATTTGATGCTACGAACAGTGGAATTTTACTCAATCTGTTTTTCTCATATTTGGATATACATACATATATATATATATATATATAGATAGATAGATAGATAGATAGATAGATAGATAGATAGATATGTGTATGTGTGTGTGTGTGCGCGTGTCGTCCTGGATATGATGATAAAACTAAATCCGGCAGCAAGGCCTCTGATCGGGTGATTTTGAGGAACATGGGAACACCTCCTAATTGCTGTTGTTTCCAGATCCCCCCTGACTCGTGGCGGTAGCACCTGTTAGGGTCCCAGCTATTGGCAAATAGTTAAACCCCCAAACATTATGAAAGTATAAACGTTTTTGTAGTAAAAAATACCAGCAATACATTTTTATAGTAAAAGAATTACCAGCAATACATTTTTGTCAAATAAATTACTCATGCTCCCAAAAAGATTTAATTTCGGCATTAAATGACTCATAATGAGTTGCTATGCCGCTATTCAAGCAAATCAATGTGTATGTGTTTTTCTTAATGTTTTGCTTAGCTTCTGGAAGGCATCTTTCACTACGCCAATGAGCCTTCGGATTACAGTGTCGTACTTTCCATCCTCTGCTAAAACATTTTCCAGATTATTTAAATTGATGCATTTGTTCGATTTTGGTATCTCTATTTTTGAATTTGCATGTTGATCTGTTCCTTTTGTTAATATGCATCCTGTCTTTTTTCAACTGATGTTTAGTCCTTTCTTCTCGCTTTCCCTAACTACCTTCTGTCGGAGTGTTTTTTAGTTTCCTTTCTGTGCCTGCTAACAACACTGTGTCATTTGCATATCTTATATTGTTAAGATTGGCTGGTTTGGTTTGTTGGCATATCAACACCTCAATGGGTTATTTAATGCCGACAAGATTTTTATTGCTAGCAATATTTTTTTTCCAAAAATTATTGCTGGTAATAAATTTTTTGCAAGAATGTATTTCTGGTATTAAAACCTATTTTTACACGTTTTGACTCCTGTTTGGGTGTTAACTATTTGTCCATAGCTGGGACCTTAACAGGTGCTACCACCCCAGGTCAAGCTAGACCTGGAAACACAAGCAATTAAAAGGTGGTTCCATGCTCCTTAAAACCTCCCGATCAGAGGCCTTACTGTTGGATGTAGTTCATCGTCTTGCCCAAGACGCGGATGTAGTTTATCGTCATGCCTACGATAAAGTTGGCTGGAAATCATGAAGCCGGAAGGGTGTTCCACAAGCGAGAAAAGAAACAGTTAGCATAGAACATACAGCTACGTTTCCTGAAATTATAATTTGGCCGCTAAATGGAGAAGATAATATTATTAATGGTATAAACTGATGTTTGAAAAATGATGATTTGGGTAAGAAAAATAAAAGAATCTATGAATTGATAATTATAACTTTTTAAATAAATTGTCGAAAAATGATAGTTTCGTGTGTTTATTTATTTTTAATTTTTTGATAAAAAATCTTTTAAGAAAAAAAAAAGATCTTCATTTCGTTCAATTATAAGTCGCTTGAAAGAGTAAGCCTTTGTTTATTTAATTCACCCTGTGTGGAGTAGTGGATAGCGGCTCGGATTGAGGAATCAGGGAGCTGAGTTCGAATTCCAGTCGAATCCATTACAGTCACTTACGTGCTAATACCCTTGGGAAAGGTATGGATCCTCTTCATTTCCCCCTATCTATGGGTAAATAGCAAGACAGACCAGGTTCTGTAGCCTTGGATGGCAACTGGTCTACCGTAGAAAGAGATGGCAACCTACTGCGGGAAAAAATCTGCCTCGTCAGTCATGTATCGCCTAAGCGTGTATCACGCACGGCACATATCTGACTGACTGAGACACATAATAAAGAAAAAAGTTTTGGAGAATTTGACATTCACGGGGCAAATTGAAAACAAAGCGATCAGAGGGAAACAGCGAGTAACCCACTTAACGAGCCTTTGTAAGTGGCTGTCAGTACAGGGACTGAGAAGGAAAGTAAATGGGCACACACTGCTTAGAGCTACAAAGGATAGGAAGTTGTGGAGAGCCATGTTCAACCTACTTAACGAGCCTGTATAAGTAGTTGCCAATACAGGTACTAGGAAGGAAGGTAAATGAACAAACATTGAGCTACAAAGGATAGGAAGTTGTGGAGAGCCATGTTCAACCTGCTTAACGAGCCTGTATAAGTAGTTGCCAATACAGGTACTAGGAAGGAAGGTAAATGAACAAACATTGAGCTACAAAGGATAGGAAGTTGTGGAGAGCCATGTTCAACCTGCTTAACGAGCCTGTATAAGTAGTTGCCAATACAGGTACTAGGAAGGAAGGTAAATGAACAAACATTGAGCTACAAAGTATAGGAAGTTGTGGAGAGCCATGTTCAACCTACTTAACGATCCAATGTAAGTGAATGTCAGTACAGGGACTGGGAGGGATAGTAAATGGACAAACGTAGCTTAAACCTACCAAGGATAGGAAGTTGTGGGGAGCCATGAATAACCATGCTCTGAAGGGACACGAAAACTAAAAGAAGATAATCGAAAGTACAAAAAAGCTCGTGTTAACGAACCTCACCAACCTGTAACTAAATTAATTACAAAGTCCACATTTCCATCGATTTTTCACTTTAGCTTGAAACCATTTAAATAAAACGAGATGACGAAATTGCCTAATTGATGTTTTGCATTCTTCTTGCTCACTCTTGGGTCTTTAATAATCGAGCCCCACCCCAGGTTTATTAATATTTTTTTAAAAATATCAACACACCCAACTCTTAGTCCAACCCACTCTATTTATTTTAGCATTTTCACGAGAGTTGGTTCACTGTGTCATGCTAGACATTTTTTTCTCTCCAGAATCTATCTTACACATTTACATGTCGGCCATCCGTTCTTATTTTGAATATTGCCGTCGCATCTGGTCTGGTGAATCTGATATGTATTCAGAGATTCTTGACGAAATACAAACAAGATTCTTGATCTGGCATCGCGGCTTCAGCCATTTTCCCACTGTAATTTTCCTGTGCCTTTTCTATAAATACCTTCATGGTAATTGTCCTGATTAGATTTCCTCTTTGGTATCTCGACTTTACGAATTTGAGCGCAGTACTAGATTGGCGGTTAGGTCTCATTTCACAGTTGCAATGGCTAAATTTAACCGTAAGTTCTATGTTAACAGTTTCTTCTTTTGTACTTGTCTCTTGTGGAAAGTTCTTAAAAAATTAAAATGCAATGTCAATCGTTCGCTTCTGTCTTCTTAATTCCTGTTCTTTTATTGTCCTCTTCCTTTAATAAAGCTTGCTTTTTTTTCTCATATTCTTACACACTCAGTAACCCCTGCGTTTTAGTGGCTTTATTGCTGGCTGGGGTGAAATTATAAAAAAAAATAACTTTAATGAAAATAATTTCAATTTTAAGAAAATGATCATTATACACACATTTTCGTAACCAGTTTAAGATTATCTACAACATAACACGATGATCCATGAAAAAAGATCAAATGAAAGATATTAGAAAAGTTTTTGTAAGGTTTTTATCGTATCTATCTGCAGTAAAATATTGATATGAAAAAAAAATTAACTCTAATTAATTTGCATTATATCTACAAGCAATCCCATAATCCTGTGCTATTTATGTATGTGATATACATTCCAAGCCTGAAGTATATGATCTATGAATTGAGAAAAGTCTCTGCATCAAAATAGACATTAAAAATTGATATATACAGAATAAGACAAGAAAAAGAAGTAGTAGTCTTTATACTATAATAATATACTAAACAAATAGTCAGTCAGTTATGTGCCATGTGTGATTGATACACGCTTAGGCGATCATGTATCTTTCGATACATGACTGACGAGACAAATTTTTCCTGCAGTAATTTGCCATTTATTTCTGCAGTAGACCAGTTGCTATCCAAGGCTATAGAACCCGGTCTGTCCTGCTATTTACCTATAGCTGGGGGGGGGATAAGAGGATTCATATCAAGTAAATGAATGTAACGGAGTCGACTGAAATTCGAACTCGGCTCTCCAAATCCTCAATCCGAGCCGCTATCAATTACTCCACCGTATTTCTTCGCCCAGATGATAAAATAAAATAATAAAAAAAAAAAACTGTAGGAAATTATTATTTTAACTAATACTGTTTCTGTCTGTAAACAGTTTGAACATCATTTAGAAATGCAATAAATAAATTTTAGCCATTGGATCGCATAATTTTCTCTGGTTTATATACAAAGTCCACCGGGAGCCTTCATTAACTGTGTGCTACTGAGGTGGTGTTTAAGTAAAGTTGCTCATGTAGATAAATTTCTTTAATGTAGATCACATATTTAAGAAGAACCATGCACATAGTTCACAAACTTAGCACCAGTAAATCCTTCTGAAAATATATCTTTTGCATCTGTTACTGCTCATCCTCTTATTTAATTTTATGAAATTTCAAGAAATTCATTTTTGTATGGCTTAATATTTATGTTAGTTATAAGCAAACGCCCTTGGAGAATTTGAATCGTCAATTTTTCTTTTGTAAAACAGGGCCCCCATTTACAGAAAATCTGCTCCGAATCGCAAAATAAAAATACACTAAAACTAAGACATTATTTAATTAGAAAAGCTTTGTTTTTTCTCTCTTACAGTAAGGTCCACCCTTTGCAGGGCCACTCGTGGCAGAGGGTTACTTTAGAAGGCAGTTTGTACAGATAGGAGGGGAAGATAACGGTTAACCCTAGACTAGAACAATTTAAAATTGTAGTGATCGAGGAGACCTCCTTTTGGGATTTGGTTCCATAGAGCAGTAGTTCGCAGGAAGAAGCTGTTCGTGTCGAACTTACTTCTCATCGATGGAATACGGGTGGTCTGTAATTGTTTTTTTGAATAAGATATATTACGACTATTTACATTATTCGAACTGTTATCTTCATTTTCATTGCCATATGCACAAAGTTTCGGTCGTTGTACGCTCCGGCATTCTTCAGGTGATTGGAATTTCGAACGGAACGCTTTATTTCGCCCACTGGAATAGATTGTTCTAGTTCCACGCGCCATGCCTCTTCCGGATGCCCCAGTTATTTCCCTTTAACTCAAATCTCCAAGTTTTTTTGGTTTACCACTGCTGCTGCTGCTGCTGCCTGGTATTGAACTCACAACTCTTTGGGTCTAGCCAACGTCTTTATCCACTGGGCCATGTGTCCTTGAGATATTTTATGGACACTAGGGCACCTCGAGGTGGTATAATGATTAGCAAGCTTGTCTCGCTAGAACAATTGCGACTGATTAGTGAGTTCGATTCTCATTGGGTGCCCCCTACTTTCGGCCTTGTGCCACATCTAAGCTACGCTTGGGAAATCGCTATATTATGGACACTATTGTCTTAAGAAAAAAAATTATTGTTTTTTTCTTAAATAATGAACTTTTTCAAGAATATCTGTCTATATTTCTGAGATTTGGTACATTATTTACATTATTCGGACTATTGTCCTCATCTTTGTCGCCATATTTATTACAACGTTTCGGCCGTTGTACGCTCCGGACTTCTCCAGGTGGTTGGAATGTCAAACTGAACCCTTTATTTCGCTCACTGGGGTAGACTGTTCAATTCCACGTGCCATGTTTAATGGATGTCAGTTATCAGTTATCTCCTGTTAATTACCCTCTGAATGTTCTCCACTGCCTTTATCGGGTATTGAACTCACACTCTTTGGGTTCTATCACTGGATCTAACCAACGTTTTTATCCACTGTGCCATGTATCAAGAATTGTTTTCATTTTTTTAAAATTTAAATTATGATAATTTTAAGTTTTATATCTTTTAAAATCCTGTATTTAAACGGAGATGTGATAGTGTTATTATGTAAATACTATTAATTCAAATAAACCCGATTGTAAACTGTTATTGTCCAGTTTAGGACTAAGGAAGAACAACACGAACACAAGAGTAGAAATAACGAAGGTATATTACACGAAATAATAATATAAGATGTGGAAGGTGTTAGTATGACTGTCAGTTTGGTTTGGAGTGAACTACTATCGGCTCGACTCGATTCGGTATCTATCCACCCCTCCCACGAGGGTTGCATGTGGCACAAAGCCGAGTTTAATGTGGGTTTCCCGAGCCCGTAGGTTCGGCCAAATATGCCCGTAGAACCCGTATAAACGGGATCGGGTTGGTCAACCTCCCCGAACGTGACTCTGCCCTTCGGCGGAGATACGTCCGGGTTCCTCTCTGCTCAGAGGCAGAGAATTCGACCATCAAGCCGACAAGCTCGGCTTGATTCGGTATCTAGCCACCCCACCACCACGAGGGTTGCACAAGGCCGAGTTTAACGTGGGTTTCCTGAGCCCGTAGGCTCGACCAAAAAATACCCGTATAAATGGAATCGGGTTGGTCAACCTCCCCGAACGTGACTCTGCCCTTCGGCAGAGACTCGTCCGGGTTCCTCTCTGCTCAGAGGCAGAGAATTCGACCGTCAAGTCGAGAAGCTCGGCTTGATTCGGTATCAGCCCCCCCCCCCCACGAGGGTTGCATGCGACACAAGGTCATTTTTATTGTGGGTTTCCTGAGCCCGTAGGCTCAGCCAAAAATATGCCCGTATAACTCGTAAAAACGAGATTGGGGAGGTCATTTCACCCCGAACGAGATTCTGCCCTTCGGCGGAACCTCGTCCGGGTTCCTTTCTGCTCAAAAGCAGAGAGTTCGACCGTCAAGCCGAAAAGATCGGCTTGATTCGTCCCTCTCTCTTGAGGGGCGTAGTGTACATAGTGTTAGGAAGAGTTCATTCTGTAAGGTAAGGAGCCATGGCATAAACTAATGCAATTCATTACTCGGACTTTTTCAACTGTTCGTGATTTATTAATTTTTTAAAAAAAACAACCACCCCACCTATTCCAGCCAAAAGGTTTTTTTTTTTTTTTTTTTTTGTTTTTTGTTTTTTTTTAAATAGGTCTCTTTTCTTTTTGCATCATATCGCCGGCTTGTTTCAATTTTTTTTTTCTTTTTCTTAATCAGCTCACCGCGAAAGGCTTCTGGCTATTTGAACAATGAATAAAGAACTATAATGTCTGAGAAGATAGGCCAAGGGAGAGTTGGGAAGACACAAAAAAAGATAACGATACTGAAAAAGGACTGACATTGGTATTATTAATAGCTTGAGGTTAAATTAGAGTTGCAACCTTCTGATACTTCAACTGTCATCGACAATCCACATTTCATATTTAGGTGATAATTTACTCATCCTTCGACACGACCGAGTTGTCCCAGTTTCTGAGAAAGAGCCGAAAAAAGTTACAACAAAGTTGTAAATGATTTTCGCAATATAACAATACACAATGTAAACGCAAATAATCTGTTTAGTTTATCTTTCTTTCTATCTCTCTATCTAAGTTTGCTTCACATCTATCTATTTACCTCAGTTTAATTCACATCTATCTATCTATCTATCTATCTATCTATTTCAATTTAATTCACATCTATCTATTTATCTAAGTTTAATTCACATCTATCTCAGTTTGATTCACGCCTATCTATCTATCTCAGTTTTTCACATCTATCTCTTTATCTATCTCAGTTTAATTCATATCTATCTATCTATCTATCTATCTATCTATCTATCTATCTAATTCCTTTCATTATCTATCTATCTAACTCCTTTCATTATCTATCTATCTATCTTAATTTCTATCTATCTATTTATCTATTTCAATTTAATTCACATCTAAGTTTAATTCATATCTATCTGTTTGATTCACATCTATCTATCTATCTCAATTTTGTTCACATCTATCTATCTATCTATCTATCTATCTATCTATCTCAATTTTGTTCACATCTATCTATCTATCTATCTATCTCAATTTTGTTCACATCTATCTATCTCAATTTTGTTCACATCTATCTATCTATCTCAATTTTGTTCACATCTATCTATCTATCTATCTATCTATCTATCTATCTATCTATCTATCTCAATTTTGTTCACATCTATCTATCTATCTATCTATCTATCTATCTCAGTTTTGTTCACATCTATCTATCTCAATTTTGTTCACATCTATCTATCTATCTATCTATCTATCTATCTCAATTTTGTTCACATCTATCTATCTATCTATCTATCTATCTAATGAATTGTTGATGGTAATTGACTGAAATTATATTTTTAATAACTTTTTATAACATAACAAGTCTTTTTGGATTAATTGAAAACAAACAGAAAGCTAAATATATTGATGCATATAGTTTCTTGGGGGATCAACAGCAACCAATGGTTTAATTAAAAAGAACTATATGAACTCTTAAAGCATAAAGTGTTTATTATTATTATTCTAAGTAGGCATTAAGTGAAATGTGGGAAGAGGAAATAATTTTAATTTCCCACTGGTGTAAAACAATTTTCCCTCTGTGACAAAGTTAGGAAATTCTTGAAAGAAATGATCGCCCACGTCTTGAAGGAACACGGTAAATAGAAGAAAAAAGAAAAAAAAACGAGAACATTTTAAAAATCTTTCGAAACCACTACGCTAAAAAATAAACGGATTCGTTTTTTATTCTTTTTCTTTTCTCTGAGGAAACCATTTTGTGCCTTCTTCTATATGTGCTGTGTTCATTCAGGACGTAGGCGAACATGGCTCTGCACAATTTCCTGTTCTTCGTAGCCCCTGATAAATTTTATCGTTTTGATTCTTCTAAACCTTGTTCCGCCATCCATTTACTCAAGTCCACTAAGTAGTTTATGTATTGTTTTCCTCTCTCCCTCTTGCTTTCAATTTGTCCCGGGAGTATCAAATTTTCTAAGCCATCATCCTCATTAAGAGCCCTAGAAATTTTAACTGTTTTTTCCAGATGTCAAGTACAAGTTTTTCTTTTCGTTTTTATTTTCTCTAATACTTCGTAACAAATATTTAAATATGTTTTAATTTTTTACCGGTGTAGACGGAATAGGGTAGGTCAAGGGTTATATGTCATCGGAAGAATGGCGTCCTTTATTATTTGGAAACATCGTATATATATATATATATATATATACACACACACACACACATACATATATATATATATATGTGTGTGTGTGTGTTTCCATTTTCTCTAAGACGTCATCGTTGTTCATATATTCGGTCTATGGTATTCTCAGCATCCTTCTGTAGAACCACATTTTGGTTGTTTTAAGTCTCTTCTTCATCTTTGAGGAGATTGTCCAGCATTCACTGGCATATAGGAGGTCAGATGTCACATAACAGTTCAGTACTCTTTTCTTTGTTTCTAATGAAATTTTTCTGTTTCTTAATACTATGCTTAGCTTTTGAAAGGCACCTTGGGCGATTTTGTGTGCCTTAGGTTCCCCAAAGTCATACAGTGTTATTTTCTGTTTTCTTTTTTTTTTTTTTAAATATAAATATGACTGTGTGCACTATTTTCATTGATAAAAAATACACGATGAAACAATCTTTTTCGCTATCACTATCAGACCTCCAGTTATCGGCGATCAATTGATCCCAGATAGTCCAAGGACAGTTTAAACGAAAGAGTACGTTTGTCAACAAATTTATTCTTTCGTTGCATCTATTTTATCACCAGCGTATATTTTAATCTGCACAATTCATCATAGTCATAGATATTAATAGTTTTACTTGACGGATTTTACAAGTGTGTGAAAATACTGACAACTAAAATTCTTTCTTCTCTCACCTCTCTCTTCCTTTCTCCCGCACACATACAATCACACCCTCTCTCTCTTTCTCTCTATTTATCTTATTTTCACCAAAAAAAACAAAGTTTATTCAGCGCTACAAAGGACAGGAAATTGTGGAGAGTCATGATCGCCAATGTCCTGAAGAAGAAGAAGAAGAAGAAGTAGAAGAAGAAGAAGAAGAATGGCTAGATGTAACCGTAAGTTCTATGCTAAAAGATCCTTCTCTCGCACTTCCAGCTTGTGGAACTCACTTCCGGCTTCTTGCTTTCCTGTCAACTCCGATCTTCAAGTATTTAAATGCGACGTAAGTCATCATCCTCTTCTCTAAAGAAATTCGGGTAAAAAAATTTAAATAATTATACATGATTATTACTTATTAATGATTATATAATAATTTTGATGATTTAGTCTTAAAGAATAAAAACTATTTTTTTACAATGATATCCAAACTATACAAGGCCCAAGAACTACTCGAGGTAGATAGTTCTAGAGTAAGAGGCACAGTTTCGTAAGCTCATTATTATAGTAAATAATTTATGATTTAATATTATGTCTATTTCTGAAATTTAAAGCCCCCCCCCCTTTCTGGCATGTGTTGCAGACCTCGCTCAATCTGGCTTTGATCCCACTTGTATATTTGATTGTGAACGAATTGTGTCGGAATCTTAAATATCTATAGAACCAGGTTTTGAAACAGAGAATTCGATTTCTTTCTCGCTTGTACCTTCAGGTGATCGTCAGTGCCGTATTTTCACTGGCCGAGACCCTAAGGCTATAGAAAATTTCAGTCGCTTCTCTAAAAAAATTCGGGTAAAAATATTTAAAAATAATTATTATTTATTAATGATTATATATGATCTTTGATTTAGTGCTAAAGAATAAAAACTAATGATAAGATAAAAATATATCTTTAAAAATGTAGCCTCTGAGAGTGTTTCGCTCCTGAGGATATGTGGCTCCCGAGTGTGTGTGGCTTCTGTGGATGTGTGGCCCTATATAGGTAAGTCCAGCACTGGCGACCATGGCTCTCCACAGATTCATTATTTTTATTATCTGTGATCTACCATGAAGAAAAACGGTATATCGGATTCCCGTTACTTCGCAATGCTTGTAAGTTCTTTTCCTAGACTGGTTTGTAGCCAAGGCTAGAGAACGTAGCCTACTATTAATGATTATATATAATCTTTGATTTAGTTCGATTTCTTAAATTTAAAGCCCCTTTCTGACATGTGCTGCAGACCCCGCTTAATCTGGCTTTGATCCCACCTGTATATTGGATTATGAACGAATTGTGTCGGCATATCTATAGAACGAGGTTTTGAAACAGAAAATTCGATTTCTTTCTTGCTTGTACCTTCAGGTGATCGTCAGGGCCAGACTTTCACCGGCCGAGAGACCCTAAGGCTATAGAACATTCCAGTCGCTTCTCTAAAGAAATTCGGGTAAAAATATTTTTAAATAATTATTATTTATTAATGATTATATATGATCTTTGATTTACTGCTAAAGAATAAAAACAACGTTTTTTATAATAATGTTCACCCTGCACAAGGCCCAAGATCCACTCGAGGTAGAGCGTTACAGAGTAAGAAGCACAGTTTTATAAGCTCTATTATTATAGTAGTAAATAATTCATGATTTAATAATGATCCGACTATCTGTGTTTTTAATGGATGTCAGTTATCAGTTATCTCCTGTTAATTCCCCTCTCCAAGTTCTCCACTGCCTTAACCGGGTATTGAACTCACACTCTTTGGGTCCTGTCACTGGATCTAACCAACACTTGGAGAGGTGAATTAACAGGAGATAGGTGATAACTGACATCCATTAAAAACATGGCACGTGGAAATAGAATAGTCTACCCAGTGAGCGAAATAAAGGGTTCAGTTCGACATTCCAACCACCTGAAGAAGGCCGGAGCGTACAACGGTCGAAACGTTGTAATAAATATGGCGACAAAGACGAGGACAATAGTCCGAATAATATAAATAGTGAACTCAGATGATGCTGTTAAATAACTTCATCAGATTGAGACTTTCCTATGGGAGTCATACATGGCACCAAATTCGTTCAAAAATGTCTAAACTATCAGCTGTACAAAAACCGATTTCTAAGATCAATGGTTAAAAATGGCTTTGAGCGAGTGAAGCCTGTGGATCATCCTTCTTCGAATTTTGTGGATTGGTGCTACAGAATCACAAGGAATTGTACCGGGTAAAAGAAACCACATCACTTGAGGACTTTCAACAACAACAACTAAAATGGATAACACAGGTAAATCGAAGAGAAAATAATCAGGATGTTGGTATGTTCCATACTAACCCAAACAAAAGGTTAGGAAGGAATCAACATCAATACTGGAAAGATTGATAACAGCTACTGGACTTGAGAAATCTATTTTCTTGAAAAATTATTTTAGGGAAAGATGTTATGAATTTCATCCGTCAGCAGTACTGGCTGCTCGGTCAATGAATGCCAAATGTTTCCTTATAAGGAAACGGCTAATATGACTCTTAACGTTAATAAGGATTGTAACACTTTTCTCAGTGTGCATCACGTTGACCTCTGTGTGTGTGTGTGTGTGTGCGTGCTCGCGTGTGTGCGTGTGTGTGTGTGTGTGTGTGCGTGTGCGCGCGAGCGTGTGTGTGCGTGCGTGTGTGTCCCTTTTATACCGGACATGTCCCGTATTGGATAATTTTGTCCCCTGGCCGGTACTGCCCTTTCCAGGATCACTCCAAATGTGTCGTGTTTAGTTCATTTTCGAATTTCGTAATAAAAATATATAAGTAATTATATAATTTATCATTTTCGAGTTTCGTAATAAAAATATATAAATAATTATGTAATTTATCATCTTCAAATTTCGTAACAAAAATATATAAGTAATTATATATCATTTTCAAATTTCTTTATAGAAACATATAAGTAATTATATAATTTATCATTTGCGAGTTTCGTAATAAAAATATATAAGTAATTATATACCATTTTTGAAATTTCTTTATAGAAACATATAAGTAATTATATAATTTATCATTTGCGAGTTTCGTAATAAAAATATATAATATATATTATATATTTATATATATATATCATTATCAAATTTCGTAATAAAAATATATAAGTAATTATATATAATTACTTTATGAGTAATTATACTTATTTTTCTTAGATTCTCTTGATGAAAATAACCAAATGCAACGATGAAAATAGTGTCGCTAGAAGTTTACGCAAAACTGACTTGTTTATTTTTCTGTCTGGACTAAATAAATATTTTCAAAGGATTTCACTTTTAAAGAAATTCTTTTTCTTAATTTGTATTAAATAATTTTCAAATGATTTTACTTTTATTTTACATCTTGCATTAAATTAACTGAAACAAGTATCATTATACATAAGATATAAAAACCAGACGGGTGCGTGGGCGGGTGTATGGTTATTCTACT